AAGTGAATAAATTTTCATAATTGCGTTTTGCGCGCTGTCAGCCGTTTTGGCATCGCTTTTTGCTTTTTGCTTTTAGCTTTTGTAGTGCGAACAAATAAGAAGCAGAACGAGATTTGGATAGTCAATTGCTATATGTGTGCATGTGTGTGGCTGTGTGAGTAGCCACTGTTAACAGTGGTGTGAGTGCTTGACTGTGCATGAGTGTCAGTGTGTGCGAAATTTTATCTCATTCTCGTTAACTGTGTTTGCTCATCATTTACATACATAAGTATGCCTGTGTGGGCTGTGTTGTACGTAGTCGCACGGGTTAATCATTTACGTTTGCGTAGCATCTGTGCATTTGCATTTCAATACATCGCGTGGCCAAACGATTGACATTTCGGGCTACTCTAATTGGTATTTTAAGCAAGGGCATAACAAATTTCCCACACACATTCTTAAGTTGGGAAATTGTATGACTTTGTGTCTTGGAATACTTAAGAAAAAATTCCATAAGAAAAAATTTTAATATTTTTTTTTTCATGTACATACATACATTTGTATGTGTGTATATTTATTTGTATTTAAATACCATAAAATTGATAATTTAACGCCTTTTATAGCGCTACTTGAAACGTATTAAGATGATAATAACTTTGCCATGGAACATTTTTTAATGTTGATTAAGATTTGGCTATCAGCTGTGATTAGAATTGTAAACAGTTTATTTAGGCGAACTGCAAATGATTAATAAGGTTCAATAGCACAAGCTCTACCCATGTGTATGTCTTTGAATGTGTGAGTAGTGAGTGGAATCTACTAGAACTTAACAATTAGCAATTGCTGATAAGAGCTCCGTCCATTTCAATTCCATTTCTAATCTAATTTGTGACTTCAATTCGTCGGCTCGTATTCGCCGCCTGCTCCCCGCTCCCATTTCGTTTCCACGCACACACACACACACACACATGCATATCTATTTCCCTTGCAGTTGTGTGTGGCCCACGCACTTTGCCACACATTCCGCGCATTATTCGCAAAGTCTCACGTGGGTCTTGGCTGCAATGCCGATTCCGTTGATTCCGTCTGTGTTGCAGCTGTAAACGTAACTGGATTTGGCCCGCCCGGGCCACAGCCCCCGTTCGCTTCTCACCCGCTCCGCCCCACACGTTTGCATACATATTTCTCTATTCGCCTTTTTATGTTTCTTTCAATTAAATGTGCAAGCAGCTGCAGAAATTGGCAGCAACTGAACTAAAAAAAAAAAGTATAAAAAAATAAAAATAAAAATAAATGTAGCTCATGCATTTTTATTCTTATACTTTTCACATTTTTGTTCAGCTTTATTTGATTGTGTTTGACTTTATTACGAATTCCAAGCTAAAAAGCAAGGAATATTGCGTTTAGAATGCACACACACATACTCAGAGCTATGCAGAAACAATGCAAAGAGTATAAAAATATAAATATAACAACAACACAGAGTAGTAGAAGAGGAGCAGCAGCCGCTGTAAAGTCGAGCAGTTTAATTACGCAATCAACAGGCGCATATGCAAAAAGTTTTGTTTTTGTTGTTGTTGTTGCTGCTGCTGCTATTTCTTTCATTCCTTTTGTTTTGTTGTTGTTGCTGCCGTTTAACGTTTCATTTCATTTGGTTTTTGTGCTGCTTCGCGCATATTTCATTTGCTGCGGCTGCTTTACGCTTGTCATACGTCACAGCAACAAGCCGATTAAATTGGGAACGACACATAGTCGATGGAGATAGCTAGTGAGAGAGAGAGAGAGGTGAAAGCTGGACAGAGGGGAGAGTGCGAGTGTGTAAGAGAGCGGCAATAGCATGTAAATGAAATTGAAATCAACTATTGGAATTGCTCGTTCATTCCGTCAACTGCAATGTTGATCTGCTGTTGCTGTCGCTGCCTCTGTCTCTGCTTCTGCTTCTGCTCTGCTGCTCTCTCGTTCTTTGTTATTGTTTTTCAGCAGATTTAACTGTGACTTTTGTGTGGATATATACAGTTAACTCCCGCGCTCACTCGGTCAGTTGGTTAACTGTCACTTAATGCTGCCGTCTGAACTTTAGTTATGGAACGAGGTTGTATAAATGAGTGAATGAATGAATGACTCAGTGGCAGCCTACGCTCGTTTGTAACTGTAAAGCAAATACCTGTATAACATGCAATTCTAATTACAAACCCTAAGTGGAATTACCATAGTAAAAGTCTCTATTTGTAACTCGAATTTCCATGAACAACATTGAGTCACGAATCGCGACATATTTATTTAATAAAATCATCAGATAACGTCTCTAAATTATACATATCTCAAAGCAACGCGCCCGCCTCAGCGCGTGCACAGGGTATTTTGCTGTGAGAGAGAAAAGAAAAAGAGCCTGCATGCAAATTAAAGCAGCGACCAGGCAAGCAGCATTTGTGGAAGGCGACTGCGAATGACAGGCGCAAGGAAACAGGCGAACGAGAAGAACAAGAAGTTGTTCACGCAGGTAGCAGCAGGCATACAACGCGACCGCGTTTTGCGCACGCATCATTCACAGAATGAGTAGCAGCAGCAGCAGAAGAAGAAGAATAAGCAGCGGCTACAACAGCAGAGGCAGAGGAGCTATTCGCCGCTGCTTTGGCCTCTGCTGTTTTACCACCTGCCGCACTTGTTTATGACCGCCGACTTGTTGGCGTCTCTCGCCGCGTTTGGACACTGGGACAGCCCAACGAAAGCGGAAACATGCGCATCAATGCACGCATACACATCAACACATACAAATACATACATAAATGAGCTTACATGGCACAAGACAACAACAGCAGCAGCAAAGCAGAGGCTCTAAAAGTAGTCAAGAAGAAGAGCAACAATAACATGACTGGAAATTGGCAAAGCCATCGCTGTCGCCGACGTCGTCGTCGTCATCGGCGCTGCGACTCATGCGCTTTTGCTTTGGGGCCTCTTTTCTTGTGCTTTATTTTAAAACTGGTTACGTCGCAACCAGTTTTACGTCGTATCTATCTGTGTGCGTCTTTCTGCGTCGTGTGTTTGTGTGAGTGTGAACGTGTGCTGGGGAAGCCGCTTATTGTTACGTTCTTTTTGCGCTGCTTCTGCTACATATTCGGCCTTTGCTAATTGCTGCCGCAAATGTTAAAAAAAAAAAACAATTAGCATGAATCGCACGCTCTTTGCCGCTCTTTCTCTCTCTATGTAGCGATGTGTGTGAGCTCCGTTTCGCGCTTTATTTGAGCATGTGACGTCACTAGGCAATGATTGCGTGAGCTTTAACGTTAGATAAATTGTGTGTAAATGTATATTTTTTCTTAATGACAGTTATTTATAGGGCATCGCCAATGCGCACAAACTCGTTTTTAACGAACTTTTCAAGCAAGCAGCATACTTTAAGGCGATTTCTAAAGTTATGGTTTATCAGTGAACGCGTTCAAAGTGCAGCTCAATATGATTACAATTTGAATGTGTATGAGCGTGTGAATACTTGTGCAAGCACACACTCTTGAGTGTGCTTCACAATTGAGCAAGACAATAATTCAGCTTGTGCTGCGCTGATAAGACTATTTAATCTCGCTGTATTTTGTAATTACGCGTTTTTCTACACACGCACACGTACATGTACATGTATATGTGTGCATTCTCTGTTATCATATTAGCGCAACAGCAACAGCAAAAGAATTGTGCAAAAGTCAACTGCGCAGCCCAGTCAAGCGGAATAGGCAATTGACAAAGACAGAGAGAGAGAGACAGAGAAAGGTCGGGAGCGAGCGCAACATCTGGAAATGGCACATTATGAGAATGAGACAGTGGAATGTGCCGTTCATTGGAAAAGTGCGTCATTCGCAATTGGCTGACCGAAACTTATGAATACCCTGTGCCAATACTAAATAAAGCGCTTGTCACGTCTGCTTAGCTATGAGCGCCTGGTACAGAGTATATTCAATTCATGAGCAACTCGACGAGGAGATTTAATAGTAAATAAAGTTGACATATATGTATGTAAACATATCATATTATATATAGATACAGTATCATACTTCGAACTCATTTACATGAGCTTTGTCATTTTATACATACATATAGAGTTTATATATAGGGCATTTACTATGCGACTAATTGGGCCTTTCTAATTTCCTTTGGTACTTTTTGTTTTGTTTTGGGAATTTTTTGCCAGCGTTGCGATTTTATTTATAGAACATTTAACATTGTCTATGCGTTTTGGCAGAGACAAGAAAGAAGACACACACACACTGATATACTATAAGGATGTATGGGTGTGTGTGGGTATGTACATACTTGATTACTCAAGTGTATTTATTTATTTATTTTTTTTTTTTGGGTAGACGTTTAAAATTAGCAAATCGAGCCAAGAAATTCGTTTGTAAACAATTTGCAAGCAAAACATATATAAATAAATAAAAGTAAAAGTACATATATATGAAATATATATAATATACTATATGTACACATACACATTTGTATGTTTGTCTCTATAATTTATATTTTGCTTAGATCTTTCTTAAATATTGCTTTGACTGGCCTTCTGCGTTTGCCCATGGAAAATTAGCAAAGTTTGCTCACTAAAAACACACACAAACATATACGCATGTATGTAGATCACACTCACACATACATATATCTGACGTCACAGAGTGAAATGTCAGTGTCAATGCGTGGGGCCTCGACATTTAGTCTAAATAAAAGTAGAAATAGATTTACTTATAGCCAATTTTTGATATAATTCACTGTTAGCGGCGCTGGGGTAGAGCTAGTCAAATTTTGGGAAATATTGAAAATCGTTGTTTGGTACAAGACATATATAGCGGGATATCTATATTAAAGAATAACTCTACTTAGAATTCCGTTAGAGGGTATACAAGTATATTATTAATATACACATTTGCTATAAATCAAAAATAAGTTTTTACTCAGGAATTTTTATAAGCTATATAATCTATAACATTTATAAACAGATATACTAAACTCTCTCCCTCTCTCTTTCTCTCTATCTCCAGAATCCACTGTTAATTCTCGTAAAAATACTTTGGAGTCAACGCGCGAGAAATTGAAAGGTAAGTTTTGGATAATTCCTCGTATTATCTATGGGAGTTTCGAATGCCTCATTTTGTCTCGCCTGATATATATCAAAGTCAGGGCTTTTGCTATCTCTAGGGGCTATCGCAGATAAGGCTAGAGATAGAGTCACACTGAATCATCGGCAAAATCAACTCATTGATTGACTGATTGAAGAGTATTGGAAAGCTCGAATATAAATCAATACAAATTAGTCTGACATGTCGAATTAGGAATAAAATCCAGTCTGATTTATTATAGTGCTAGGTTATGACATTTCCATACTTACTAAACTATATACTTTACTGTTTTCTGTTGATTGATTGACTGAATGATTGAAGATTAGCACTCATCGCAATCCACAAGAACTAGAAAAATGCCTTGGAGTTACCTATTATGTTTCTTTGACTTTGACTTTGATTGCAGGATTTCTGTATTTTAATCAACTGATGATTTCTAGTAATAATAAATCAAATATAGAACCAATATTTCTTCAACTACCACACTTGGCTCAGCTATTTTGGATACGCAGAAAATACATACATATATATTTATGTATTTATTTATATGTATTATTTATTTACATATTTATATCGTTGACCTTCGGCTGGGTTTCGGTTTGGGCTTTGTTGTTTCCCTGGTGCGTTATCAGGGAGAGGCGAAGCACGCCCCAGCTTAGGTCGAACTTTCTATGTCAGCCCATTACTTGTCGCGCTGCTTCTAGCTCTTTTGGCCAACCCTCCGGTAGTCTGACCCGTTATTTGATGTTTAATACCATTTAATACAGTTATTATTGCTGGGGCAATTACACTTGGAGACGAGCGACTATTTAAATGCTATATATGTATATATACTATATATATGTCAATGCTCGACAATATTGATATGGGCAACACATACATACATACATACATACACATGCGTATATAAATGCGAGCATAAATAGAAGTTGATAAAAACGCGAATGGCGTGATTCATGAAAGAAGTACGCACATCCAACGCAGCGTAGCGCAACGCAACAAATAAATAAATGAAATAATAATAATATTAAGAATAACAATAACAACAATATGCGTTGCTTATGGAAAAGAACGAGTCGGTGCGCACAAGTAGGGCATGTGCGACTAGTAGATGCTCTATCAAGCACATTAGGTTCTAGAAAAAAGTAAAGAGAGGGAGAGAGAGAGGGGGATAATGAGAGAGAGATACTGAGAGAAACTATACTAAAATCTACTCCTAATGTCAAAAGAAAGAGAGAGAGAGAGAGAGAGAGGGAGAGTGGGATTGAGGGAGCGAGAGAAAAGCAGAGAGCGAAATGAGTGATGAAATAGATTCAGGAAGAGAGAGATATGCAGATAGAAAAAGAAAATATATATAAACATATATTTCTATATATTTCTATAAATATAATTAGATCTATCTTACTATAAATATGGCATATATTTATCTAGCTATATGCATGTATCTTTCTGTTACATACAGCCTCAACAAACTAATATTCCCTATCCCCACATTTGCTCATTCACACGCACTCACGCACACTTTGAAAGAATTTAATACGCATATCAACAAGAGATTATGGCTTAAGCACGGCGTACTAGATGTTCCCAGCTATATAAATGTGTGTATGTATGCATATACATGTGTGTGTGTGTGTGTGTGTATTTATGTATAGCTCGCATTTTATTCTGCCAGCTGCTTTTGCCATTTCACTTTCGTTATCAAAGCCACTGATAAGCGCTTACGTGACGTAGATACGATACGATATATGTATGTATATGTATGTAGACCAATAAAGACACATATATGTATGTATGCATGTCTCTGTGTGTGTGTTTGTATATAGCTGGGGGCAGGGCAATGGAATTTAGATTGGCCCCAACAAATTCGTACCTTCTGATAAAGTTCGGCAATTAAGAAACAACAACAAAAAGATGCGCGAACAATAAATCAAATTTAGCTGGAAGACAAATTCGAGAACTATTCAATTTAGTGGCAAATTTAGATATAGTAATATATAAATATAGATATATATAATAATATGACTGATATATGGAACTTTAAATTATAGAGAGTATATCTCTTGATTTCTTGTTCAAATGGAAGAGCTGAAATGCGATACATTGCTTTATAGCATTCATAGTACCACCTAGAATTTTTACATATTTAATAGACATCAATAGACCTCGTTTGCTTCATTCTGACTATAGTTCTCAACAAGTTCCTCACAAATTAAACATGTTTTTAAATTCTCAAATACAATTCACATATCAAAATCGGTTCATCCAAATTTTACACCTTTTCCCACTTCTTTCCGCAGTTTCTTGTACCACTTCAGCTTTGCTTTCTCTTCTCTCTTAATTTCGTAAACAGTTTTAATATTGTTTACCAGCCCTCGAGCCCTTTTCCGAGAACACTTCAAATCTAATTAGGATCGGGCAGTTGCTTAAGGTGCAAGGATATGCGATTGCAATAGCTCGCCTGACACCCACAGCCAAAGCCTTAGCCGTTGCCACTGTCATTGCCATGGCTCACTCACAGCTGGGTTTTTCCGCAGAAGCAATTGAGAACCTCGTCGACCTGGCTACCTGAGTTGCCTAAGCCCTCTTAATAGCCCGGCTGACGCTGCTGACGCTCCTGCCGCTGCCCTTAGGTCTGGCAGTCAAGTGGCTTCGATTCGCTTCTCTCTTGGCGCTAAGGTTTTCGCTCAGCATTGAAATTTCTATTGATGATTTTTATGGGTTTTTACCCGCTAAAATCTGTCAGGTTTAATGATGCCAGCCTGTCTGCAGTTTGAGCTCGGGATTTGCACAGGTACCGAATGCACTGAGGCACGTCATTACGCTGTCTCGCGGCTGTCTAGCTGCGACGCAAGTCCATCGGCTAGCGGCCAACAGCTGCCACGGCTCTGCATAGGCAAATACAAATAGAGTAAAGATAGATTCGAATAGCCAGGGGTACACTTGAGTGGCTACAGATACATTTACTAGATGTACAAATACATTTAGAGCAATTACAATTACACTTTTAGCAATTCTGAGCAAGTTTATAGATAGATTATACTCATTGCAATAGCTATAGATACATTTGCATAGCATCAAATGCTCTTACCAAGCTGTAGATACATTTACAATAATGCAGATACATTAAGAACAATTACAGATACATTTACTAGAGATGTAGATACTTTTCCAGAGATGCAGATAGCTTTTTCTTAGATACAGATACATTTACCTTAATACCGACAGATACAAATACATTTTGGCAATCATAGATACATTTGCTATAGATACAGATACTAGAGCAGAGCCATAGATGCATTAGCAGTACACATAAATTCATTTGCATATCTGTAGATACATTAACAGATCTATGGATACATTTACTTTAGCTACAGATACTTTTACAATGATACACAGCTAAAGATACATTTGAATACAAGTGCAGATACATTCGCATAGTCATAGTCATACATTGTCATAGCTATAGATACATTTACTCAGCCATGGATAGATTGCTGCTGCCCACAGATACATTTGCACAGCCACGGATACAGATAGACGACAATCATCATCAGCGGCAGCGGCAGCAGCAGCAGCTGAACATTCACAGCATATTTTCATTGGCGTCGCAAGTCTGCGATCGTCTGTAGAGCTGCTCGACTGCTTAATATAAAACCAAATTCATAGCAATTGTATGTGAGTGTGTGTGTGTATCTCTCTTTCTGTTTGTGTGTGTAAAAGTATCTGCGTGCCTCACAGCGACTGGCAAAGCTCTTCAACAGTCGCCCAACTGGCGATTCCCAATCAGCAGTCGCAGCCGCCAAGGCAAGTCCACAGCCAACAGACCAACTACACACACACACACATACACACACACTAGCAGAGCAGCTACAACATGACACAGAATGAACTCATGCGCTGCTCTGATACCTCGACACAACAACAACAACAACAACAGCAAAAAACACACAAAGCTGACAGAGACACTGTGAAGTGAGACTCTAGTGCCAGAGCATTATAATCGAGCAATAGACAGGGCACATACTAAGCACACACACACACACACACACACACTTATATAGATACACTCACACACGTACACACTCTATTCGGCCAACACATGTAAAATTCGAGTTAGGTTTCTCAATTTGGATTTTTTTTTGCGCTCGTTTATAACACCTCATATGACGCACTTTTGCTGAGCTGATTGATTGATTGATTGACTGCATGATTGATCACCTGATTGAAGAACTCAACCTAGCCTGAAAAGAGATACCTATGTAGCGCCAATTTGCATAGCTACAAGTTGTAGGTGTCATAGAGGAAAACTAGGCAGACTAGAGCTAAAAATTGCAATTTTTTAGACTCTGATATGCCAAATATGCCAAAAGTAACGTGTCTAAATTAGTACTCTATTTAGATCATTTTAAACAATAGTTTTAGAGCTGGTATAAAAACAATAGTAAATTATTTACAAACTTTTAGAGACTTTTACATAAATACCAATGAACTTCTTTTCGAGCATTGCTTGAGTTCACTAATTTAAATAATGATTTTTAGATCATTGTTTGTAGATAATTATCTGTCATTATTTTTAGAACATCGCTTTAGGTATTTATTAGTAGTTAATTACTTTTAGGTCATTAAATTTTAAAAATATTTTTATATAACTATGCACAGCTATTTTTAGATCATAATTTTTAGATCATTATTTAAATGCTGAATTATTTGAGTAATAATATTGCATAAAGCTAAGCAATTGAATTTATCGCATTTATGGCTGTTGAAAAAGTCATGTGAATTTCGATGCATTTTTCACGCCTTTCGTATAATTGATCACCTTAAGGAAAACTTGATCATAAATCATAATTTCTTGACAAATCGCTGAGCAAATTTATTAAAAATCTAAATTGAATTTATTACTATGCGACGTGCTCCTAGACCTGATAAAGAATGTGGTTTTCAGTGACTTTTTCATGACGCCAACACGAAATACT